TGGCCAAGCTCGTTCCACATCCACATCCACTCCCCTCTCCCCTCCTTCTCCAGCCGCGTCGCCATCAGATGCTGCAATGGGCATGGGCGCAGGGGGTGGCAATGCGCCTTTGCTGCTGGAGAGCTTCTTGGAGCTCGCTCGCAGATACTCTTCCATCTCTTCGAGAGCGGCGTGCATGTGCGCATGCTCGGCCTCGTGCGTCTTGCCACTCTCGAACTGAGGCAATCTCTTTGCCAAGTGTCCAAAAATGTGTCTCTCTTCGATCATATGATCTGCCACGTTTCACATCCGCATTTCCCGCAACCCCCCCCAACACCGAAACGGATGCACGACTCATGTCAGCTCTGCTCGGGCCTTCTTCCAGCTTGTGCCTTTGCGCAAGCTGCACTCATACACTCACGCATCTCCAAATGTTCGCACAAGCTCAGAGCCAATCGGATCAGGTTCAACACGTTGGACTTGGCCGCACCTTGCGATCCGGGCGTGGCCATCTCCAGCATCCTCAATTTTTGTCTGAACCCATTGTGAAAGGGGACCATTCCTTCGTACAACCTGTTGAAATTGTAAGGCATGATTGTGACCTGTCTTGAAAACCGTCGATCGTGCGTGGGAGTGGCGGCGGTGGTGGTGATGGTGGGATGAATGCGCTTGGAGAATGGGGCTTGGAGTGAATGAGGAGCAGCAGTGCGCAGATTTTTATACCGCAAGACCAACCTCATCAAGATGTTGGTTGCTGTCAGATAGGAGAGGCTATGTGGTCAGAGAGAGGAGAGAATCATTCATCCTAAGCTTGTAGTCAGAAGACCACCTCCGAGCATTGCAGAGGGCCTCCCTCCGGAGATAAGCCTGGGATGCTTTACGAGGTGTGTGGGTGTAGGTTTCCCGCATGTGCTGCATGCGGTGGGGCTGACCGCCGAGCGAACGCGAACTCGCTCCGCGCTGCTGCTACTGTACTCGGTGGGTGCAGCATGCACCAATGACAGCTCGCCCATTCGCCATCACCAATTGTCAATCTCTACCTCAAATGCAGCTTCCCCATCGCCTTCTTGGGCCCTCTCGACATCCACGCATGGCTTGCGTGTCACCTTAACACATGGCAAAGCAGCGACTCGCTCGTTCGCAATCACCGATCCTTCCTCTCATGCAAGGCATCGCCGAGACCAGGCCGCCACATTCGGTGTTAAGCGGCACAACCGCAACGCACTCTCTGACTATCCCCGCAGAGCGATGATCTCGCCGCCAAATCTCGTACACTTTGCACGGAAGCATGGACGCAAAGAGGAGACATCACGTTTCATTCGTCGGCGGCAGGTTTAGAAGCCAGCGGACAGGCAGAGTGGCAACAGCGATCGAGCAATAAAGTGGGCAGGGAGCGGAGTGGCGGAAAGATACCTAGCAATATGACGGCAGACTGCGACGAGACAGCGCAGCGAAAAGAGTGTGGAAGGTTGCTGGCGATGGGCAAAGCAGATGGCAGATGCAGCGTCCCAAAGAAATCTTACTTGGCATACGGACTGCACCGAGAAACAAGAAAGTGTTGCTGTGAGCCGCCATGTACGCAATAGAGATCACAGCGGCCTTGCCTCGGCCGATGACTCACATTTGGTTTGTGACGCGCTGCAACTCGTCGTAGGCTCTGCTACGGATGGAGCCCTTGACCTGCGTCCGTAGCGGATAACAGCGAGTGAGTCAAGAGGTCACTGCATCGCTCTGATTAGGCTTGCTACTCACCTCATTGATCAGCTCGATAGCGTACTCGGCAGCAGCACGCTCATTGAGGTGCAGGGCAAAACGCTGGCGAAGGCGCGCGAGAGCCTGAGTAGGGTTTCCTTTGTAGCATCCCAGATCGGCACCAGCCATGAGCGTGCACATGTCGATGAGGGGCTCGGCGTATGACCTGAGCGCCAAGAAGCCGCGGACAAACATGGAGCTGAATGTCTTGAGGCCCTCTTCGCCCATCAGGTTGACGAATTCGTTCGTTAGCTTGAACTGCGGCTCGAATTGCATGCCACCTGGTCCCGAGTCGAGCAAAAAGCCGTAGTCGATGTGAACAATGTGACCATCACCGTCGACCATGATGTTCCCGTTGTGACGATCCTTGACGTTGAGAATGTGACACATCAGACTGTACGCCGCCATCGAAGACACGAAGTTCTGACGAGCTTGCTGGAAGGCGATCGAGTCGCGGTTACCGTATCGCTGAATGAAGAAAGCGCTGAGTTCGTTGACTTGAGCTCGACCCATTTCATCACGACTGGTAGCGTTGGGCACGACGTCGATCACACCCATTCCTGGCCCCGTGGCAGTGACGCGATAAGGGTTGAGATACAAATCTGAGGGATGTAGATGCGGCAGGCATCGTTAGCAACGGCTTGCAGCAGATAAGCGCCCGCCGGTCAGCTCACCAAGGCCAGCGCTTGCAAAGATGTTCTTCAACTGGGCAACACACTGTAGTGCAAGCACGTCCTGACGACAGTCGTCTCCGACCTTGAAGATGGCCATCTGCCAGACATCTATGCCAGTCGTCTTGCCTCCGGTGACGTTGGCAGCAGATGCAGCACCAGGTGCCACCTCTTCGTCCTGTTGAGACTCTGTCACGTCTCGATGAACCTTGAAGGTGAGCATGAACGGCGCCTTCGCATGTGATTGTAGAGGCCGGCCGGACTTGCGAGCAATGTCGACCACAACACCGTCGGGGTTTGAGGGCAAGTAGACACCCGGATCCACTTCAATTTTAGCGACCTCTTCGTCGATCTTTCCTTTCTTCTCGGCTTTGCTCTTCTTGATATAAGGCTTGAGCTTGCCCGAGATGCCGGTAACCTCGTTGAAAAAGCCAAATTCGCGATTGTAGAACGAGCGTGCTTCGCCGGAAAGCGCCGCAACAATCAAATCCACCATACGGTCCAAAGTAGGCTTCATCGGGTCGGGCACCTCACCATTGTCGTCCTTGTACGAGTTTGCCTTCATGTTCCAGATGATCTGGTGACAGAACAATTGAGAAATCTTGGAGGTCTGGAAGATGAAGTGCTCGACATATCCGTACGCATCGTCACGCAATGCTTGCACGATCTGTGGCACATAGAAAAAGGTGAGCGAGACGGGATGTTGTTCGAGTGCTCGCATAGCGTACTGCAACAGCAAGCCATTGTTGCCATAGACAGGCTGGAACAGGTTGACGAGCTCGACGGGAGTGACCGGCGCCCAGTACAGCAGCCACTTGAGGTCTGCTGATTCTGACTGTGCCAATTGAAGGTGATCCTCGATGAGCAGGTTCAATGCTTCGCGGGAGCGAACGACCTTGTGAGGCTGTGCGCGAACGAGACGTCCAGCCTCCTTCTCGACGGAAGGCGAGTGGATGCGGATGGCCATCTGCACGGCGACATGCGGGTTGATGCGCCATGCGAGGCGTACCATCGAGGCCCACTTCGAATCGGTCATGCTTGCTCCAGCCTCTCCAGTAAAGTCTGGGTCTCGACTCGACTCCTTGAGGGGGTTGTTCCAGACTGCAGCACGACCGAGCTCATCCTCGACCAAGAGCTGCAGAAGGATCCGCTTGTCGTCCATGGCGCGCTTCGCATCGCTTGCCGTCAAATTGCCCGGCAGACGAACCCCCTCCATAGCGGGCGGGAAGGAGGTCACTACGAAGGTGGAGCGCTGCTTGTCCGCCGCCAGAATTTGAAGCAGCTCGCGCATCAAAGCAATCTCAGCTGCTACCTGCATGCGGCTGCTGCCAAAGATCCACTGAGGAGACAGGGCGAACCAGCTGAAAGCGATGCGGTACAAGGCATCGCGGAGCTGGTATTCCACCAAGCCATCCAAGCGACTTTCCTGAATGACGCGGAAGCCGAAGACCAGGAGAGCGAATCTGACTTCGCGAGACAGAGCGTGGGTGCTCATATGGTCCGTCGCTTGAGCAGAACGCTGCAACAGGCGGACAAGCGTCAAGACCATCGCGGCATCGCGGTATCGGAAGGCCTGGAAGCGGCTAGACATCAGTCTGATCAGCGTCAGATGTGGAGCAAAGAGCTTTGTGGCGCGCTCCCGCTCTCGCTGCACCTCCTTGCGATCGAATGCGCTCATTTCCGTCTTCTTGAGCAGCGGGTGCTCGGCATCAAGCGCGTTGGAGAACAAACCTCGACGGGACTTGATTGTGGCAGCCCATCCAATCGAAGCTTCGACCATCACCTTTGTCTCCAGCTCGGGACGCTCGCCGATGATCCAGGTCCACACATGGCTGGCAGTGGTGACCGCAGCCGGCGTGAAGACGCGCAGGGGAATAGCGACGATGAAGTGCAGAATGTCAAAGTCCGCCTGCGTGGTGAAAAAGCCAGAGAAACGTCAATGTGAGGTTCAAATGCGGTGCGACCATCTCTAGTACATTTGCTCACGTGGGGCAGGGCAACCGCGAGAGCAGCCGAGCGGTACAGAAGACGACGGATCTCAGCAAAAGGAGGAGGCGGGGCGCCTTCCACCAAGCTTGCTTGAAGAGTAGTGAGCTGGCGCTTGACCTCGGCCAAGCTATCTTGCGAGAAGTTGCTGCTGGGGTCCTTCTGCAGCTCGACTAAGCCCTTTGTGAGCGCAAGGTGCACTCCAGTCATCTCGCCCAGGTAAGTAGACTTGGCGCTGAGCTCGCCGACGAAGCTGCTGGAGGCGTCTGCGCGCCAGCCACCCAGCGTCGGCAAGAAGGCGTCTTGTGGGCCAGATGTGGGCATGGCACGAGAGAAGTCGAGGGCAATGCTTTTTCCCATTTCAGAATAGCCTGGCAGTTCGTTGTCGTCAAATGTGCTCAGATAACGATTGAGGATGCTTTGCAGCTCAACGGGTGCGCGAGCCAGGAGTAATTGAAGGTAGGAGCGTGTGCGCTGCAAGAAAGAGGAGAGTATCTCTTCTCGATGAGGATAGGAGTCTGTGAGGTCGAAGCTAAGATCCGCCCGCTCGGAGCGGAAGTGATAGATAGGTGCGTATTCGTCTCGCCACTGTCCTTCGCAGCCTTGGCGCAGCAGGGTAAGGATCTCGAGCATCGCCACGACGACGTCTTGGTCGCACAGCAAGCTAGGATAGGTCGGGATGAGGCGGTCCAGGAAGCGGCGCGAGACGCTGCGAACCTTCTCCACGCGATGGCAGCTTGCCACGAAAAGGCGCTTCACTTCTTCCGAAACACGAGGCTGAACCTTGTGCTCGCTGACCTGCTGCGAGAGGTCCTTGATGAAAGAGTTGATGACTTGATCGGCGATACCCTCCATCGGCTTAGCCAAACTGCTCGCGTTCAATCCAGCGTTGATGAAGTACCACAAGATCATGGTCGGATGGCCCATAGCGCTTCTGGTGCACTCTAAGCTGTAGATGGTGTTGAGGAAGGTTACCTGAGGGAAGGCAAGCTTGCTCACTTCGCTAGCATGACTTGGTATCAGCGCCGACAGATTCTTGCGCTGCTTGTCAAGGGCAGCAGAACTGAAGTCACGCTTGAGAACGCTGTTAAACTCCAAGTCCGACTCGACATAGTTGTGCGAAGTCTCAGGGACAAGAGCCGGGGTCTTGAGGCTGATGGTTCCCAAAGCTTCAGCGACGGGGCTCGGGTCCCCTAGAGCATGGGCAAGCACTCCTGTACGAAGCGTTTGAGAAGAGCGCGAAGCACCTGTCAATGCAAGCTGCTCGCCAGGAGTGACCACCCCAAAGATGACGCTCAAAAACCAGAGGTTGCGGAAGTGAGAGACGAGCTCCGGCGTTGGGTTCTCGTGAGGGCGCAGGTCATCGTGCTCCAGAACAGCAGCAATGACAGGAAGGAGCGCAGCCAAGTCCGCTGTGAGCTCAGACGTCTCCTCTTTGCTGGCTTTGCCACTTCCCACGCTAGTCTGCAGCTGCATGCCCTTTTCTGCGTACAATTGAAGTAGCTCGACAAGGTAAAGCTCTTTGTGGCCAGCCGTGCGCTCCGCGTCCGAGTCTTCGTCCGCATCTGGCTTCGTACCTTCGCTGGGCGTCTCCGCGTCTTCATGGAGACGATCGAGAGCACGAGCCAAGCGAAGTTGAGCAGCAAGGATGTCGGAGCTTGCACGGCGGTCCGCGCCACCCGTAACGGCGCTGCGACTAGCATGACTGAAAGCGCGCACGACGTCGAGATAGCTAGACTTGGGTCCTGCCAACGCAAGCGGAACGAGTTGAGCCAAGATGGCGCCCTCGGCGACCTCATCGGCAGTGCGTAACCTTTGAAGCAGCATGCTGATCGTCAGAGCAGTGACGTCCGGCTTGTTGACCTCTAGGGCCAGGCGACTGACAATAGCAATCGTCGAACTATTGATGAGACGCTTCTGAGCAGTGGTGCGAGCGCCCGCTTGCCCCGCTTGGCCACCAATGGTGCTTCCAAAGTCGCGTCCGGTGACGGCTCTGCTGATTCCGCTTCGGACGGAGACAGCGCTGCCTGCGGCGCCGCCTGCAGCGAAACCGCCAGTTGCGCTATCTTTGCCGAGATAGTTGAGCAAGGTGTACATGGTACTGATGAGCAGATCGTCGTTCTGCGAAGAGGTCACACAGATGGCCAAGCACTTCGCAGCGCTTGCCAGCACCGGGTTGGTGACAACGCCGAGAGATGGGGACGAGGTATCGATGTGAGGAGAGACGATGGAAGCGTTGCCCGCCGCAACGCTCGCTTCGTCCAATTCGAACATGGCTAAAGGGCTGGTCACGAAACGACGCAGCTGCGTGGTCATTGCCAGTCCGAGGTTGGGGTAGTTGCGAACAAGAGCTGCTACCGATTGCAGCGCGGCGCTCTGCACGACGGGCTCGTAGACTACGGCACCCTCGCTCAACAGGGTGCGCACGCGCACCAGCGTGTGCGAGTCAACGCTTGCGTGAGAGATACGTGTCTGGGCGATGGAAGCCAGTGCACCGAGCTTGAGAGCCTCGGAAAGGATTTCGAGTGCATAGACGTCGATGAACAGCTCACCGCGCTTCGCTCCCTCCGACTCGATGAAGCGCTGCAGGTCATGATACACGCGACTGCCGAATCGCAAAGCAGCCAGTACGCCTTGCGAGACGCTAGCTGTGGTGGGGCCAGCTGCATCGCCGTTGCCAAAGGCGGCCGTGTTGCTATTGCTGCCCACGAGTGGCAGCGAGGCCAGGAACCCGGAGCCCGTGCCGTTCTGCTGCGACTGGCCATTGGCAGCCTGGGGTTGCTGCGGCTCCTTGCGCGGATCTTTGACGGGAAAGCGCATCAAAGCGGTCCACGCTTTAGCCGTGGCATCTCCGACATGTTCCCCGGCGTGAAGGGCAGCGCGTGGCGTGTCGGCGACGAGATCGAAGCGGTCCGCTCTGACCGCACGAGCAGGGTCGATGCTCTGTTGGTCCAGGCCTTGCTTCTGATAGTCTGCGAAGCTTGAGATGGGCGGGCTTGCATGCGTGGCCAGACATTGTGCCAAGACGGAGCTCAGCGCTTCGATGGCGCCGCACAGTACCAAGTGTCCAGAGAGAGGACGGCCCAGACGGCGATAGTGGGCGAGCAACGAGTTGCGATAGTCGATGTGCTCGCCATCATCGCTCTCGAGGCTGAAGCCACCAGTCACTGGCTCGTTGTCCGCATCGAGGCTTTCGTCACCGGAAAAGAAAGTGTCGACCGAACCGACGCTGCGCGCGTCGTCATCGTCATCCTCGCGAGGACGGACTGTTGGCTTCTTGGGCTTGCGTCGCGTGGCACGATCAGCCTGAGCGCGAGCTGCGCTTTGCTCTGGAAGGGTCAGAAGGGCATCATTGAGGCGCTTAGTGCTGCCACTTGCGGTGGTGATGGGCGTCAAAGCGACTGCAAGTCGAGCGAACTCGGCGATGCTCCAAGAGAAGGGTACGCTGGCGAGTGCTCTGTAGAACCCATGGAACGCTGGTACGAGACGTGTAGCGACCGCGTGGGTCGAGCCAGACGATGCGCTCAAGCCCACTGCCAGATTCTCGGCAAGGACAAGCACAGCGTCCAGGGCTGACTGGCGATGCTGGGGCGCATTGCGCGCAATGTTGAGCAGAGCAGAGGTGAGGGCGAATGCGAGCTGATCGAGCAAAGGCCAGTCGATGAGGTTCATGCCTTCCTCAATGTTAAGCGATGACAGCGCCTTGGCGTGCTTGACGAGCTCTTCGAGAACCGGACGCAGGTGCTCATCCGTCGCCTCATCCACCGTATGCGTAGTGGAGAGCGATGCCGAGGAGATCGATGAAGCGAATAGGGCCAGACTGATCTGAGTGCGAGCAGCGGAGGCGCTCTAAAGACCGCGAAACAGAGCAGACGTCGGACGAGGAATGAGGAGTGGATTGACAAGTGAAGCTTCCTCCAGTCCCTCTCTGAACTTACCAGATGAATGCCCGAGCTGGTCTTGCTCTTAGAGCTGCTCGCATTCGCAAAGAAGACGGTGGCAGGCTCGGATGGGTCGAGCTTTCCAGCCGACACATGGTCAGCGAGATTGAGGGCCAGCTCATCCAGGATGAGCTGGTGAGTGGGCAGATCGAGGCTACAAGAGTAAGAGTTCGCAGCCAAGGGTCAGCCTTCCTGAACGGTCGTCGATGAGGCTTCCTGGTCAGCCGCGCTTGCCAACTCACCTGTCCATGTTTGCAAGAGCGTGGCTTGGGAATCGTTCAAGATGATGTAGAAGGCGGTCAAGCCAGCTGCGTTGATGCAGCGAGCAATGTCACTAGGGCAAGATCAGTCTGTGAGTCGAATGATCCTGACGAGTGATGGCAGAGTCGGGACTCGTGAAGAGTTCCGATCCCGTTCAAGGCGATCAGGTGCACAAAGTGAACAGCAGCACTCGAGGGTCGTGACTGCATGCACACACGTTCTTCTCCACGCCCGTTTCGAAGCCGGCGCATTCACGCGGGCGGAAGAGCTTCATCGCGACTAGCGACGAAGTTATCAGGCACCTGAGCAGTCTGACACTACGCGGGGAAGCATGCGGGGGCACAAGGTCATGCGTGCGCGCAGCGTGAAACTCACGATTAGTATTCAGATTTAGCGTGAGCAACATGTCATGCTCATGACGGAGATGTTCCGCATCGCATTCAGCTGCTGTACCGGTACACGCAGCAGCAGCAGTGTGCCGCTTGTTCGCGCTTCCGGCATGCCGCGGCAATGATCAGTGCGGCCCGAGCGAGGTGGCTAGACACCACCGGGTGAGCCGGTTGCCCGGGCACACCCTCGATACTCGTGATACTGTAGAGTAAGCCTTCTACCTCAATGGCAGCATGATGTGCTGTGTATGTTGTATTACAGTGCTCGCAAACGCATGTTTAGAATACACATTGGCTTGTGAGGCCGGGTAGCAGGACATGAAGGCAAAGGGTCGTATCTACGCTGGCGTTTCGACTGAGTGAGCGAAAAGCGGCTCAATTCCCTAGAACGTCGGCCCTCAGGCCTGATCAGCTCCCCTCCTCTGCATGCCATCCCAAACATGCAGCAGCGCATACAAATTCTCGTCCGCAGTGCGTTTGACATTGGCGCGCAGCTCGTATAGGCAAGCAGCCACAAGGCGCAGCGAAGGGGCCAGATCCGCCTTGGCTCGCTTGCGAACAAATGCGCCATGGGTGGTCAGGAGAGCAGCGAGCCAGCGCAGATGAAATTCTACGTGCGGAGAGTTGGACTGAGGATGAAGTTGCTGAGCTACGAGCTTGAGCACCGCTCCTACGTGCACTTGAGGTAGTTGCGAAGCGACTAGAGGAACATCTTTGACGGGCACTTTCTCGTACACTTCGGCTAGCAGCGGCGCTTCGCCCAGTCTGAGAGCGCCAACCAGAGCACCCAAAGCCTCACCTCTTGCACAAGCAGCAATGATGGATGCAGGCGTAAGCTCCATATCCAGGTCCAAGGGATCGAATGCTGCTGCTGCGCCACCATGTGCTCCCACACCGATAGCAGCGGTTGGAGGGTCAAGCGAGTAGACGAGCACTCCGACAGTGCTCGCAGCAGCCCACGCTCTACCAGTGGGCGAGAAGCGGACGCTCGTGATGCGCGCTGCTTTGCGTGTGGTACGCTTGGACATGTCCCCTCTTTGAGCGCCAGGCAGCGACTTGTCTAACCGCTCGAATGTAGTCAGTTCATCCTCGTCTGAAATGTCGTCAATGAGCTCTCGTGGACCAGCAGCGGTAAGTCGTCGGCTATCTAGTCTGTCCTGGGTGTTGTCCAGACCGACATCCTTAGAGACTGTCCATCGCTTGAGCAACACCCTTTCTCGGACATCGTAAAGACATATCCAGTTGCTATTTCCACCGGCCAGGACGCACCGACCGTCGGCGCTGTAGTGTAGGCTTGTGAAGCATGCGGCACCTTCATTGCCTTGTCGTGTGACCTTGTCATCGAGGCGTCTTCCAGCCGCAATGTCTTTTCTGCATTCAAGTATTCCAAGCTGTTTTGCCCCATCTCTCGGATCAAAAAAGTTGATCTGACCATCCAATGTAGCAACGCAGATCTCGCCTCCATCCGGCCGGAAGGCTACGCATGTCGCCTCGGCAGTGAGACCGACCGTGTCTGCGCTGGCGTCTCGGAACGCCTCCCATACCTTGAGCGTCTTGTCCCAGCTAGCGCTGATCAGTTGACCGCTGCCACTAGGTGAGAAGGTCAAGCTAGCGACTGGGCCGTCATGCCCACCCATGACGTCGAGAATCTTGCCGCTCTGCACGTTCCATGTGAAAATGTCGAAACTGTCCGCAGCCGCTCCACCACCTCCTGCCGCGACCACCTCTCCGCTGGGCTCGACGGCCAAGCAGCCGAATTGGACGGGCTCTGGACTAGTGAAGGTGCGAAAGTTTCGGTACCGCAGCAAATCCCAAGCTCTGACGGTGCCGTCCAAGCTAGCACTGAAGAGCACTTGACCTTTGGACGCGAATTCCAACGCTGCAACAGTCGCAGAATGCTCAGTGAATGTCGCGGTGCAGAAGCCACTCGTGGTATTCCAAAGCTTCACTTTGCCATCGTCGCCGCCCGTAGCGGCAATTTGACCGTCATTGGAGTAGGCGATGCAGCGGACATCCGCATAGTGGCCTTGCTGTTTCAGAATGTAGCTTTCACTAGCCCATTCCCACACGAGCAACTGTCCAAGGCCTGCACATCCGAACGCCAGCCAAGCTCCATCGGGCGAGAAGGTGACAGCGGCGACCTTTTCTGAGCTGATGCTGAGGGTATGCAGTGGTGTGCATGCACCTTCATCAGCGAGAGTGTACAAGCCAAAGACGCCTGTTACGAAGCCCACGACGAGCAGAGAAGACTCGGGGTGGAAGTCGGCACAATTGACGCCGATGCTCTGAGCGTTGAAGTAGTGTCGCTCCGCAATGCCCCATCGTGCTCTGGCCAACTCGAGGCGACTGTCGTGCGACCGACTGACCGTAGATGGCCCGGCTCGATTTTGCTTCTCTTCGGCATCACTGTCTGCATCTTTCTCCTCATCTTCGCCTTCTGATTCTTCTTCGGGCTTGATCCGCCACACGAAGCACGAGCCATCCTTGCCAATGGTGTAGATTGTGCGCTCGTCTGCGCTCCAGTGCGCCGAGAGGACAGATGCGCGATGCCCGCTAAAAGTCTTGGGTCTAAATTTAGTCGGCTGCCTCTTTCCATTCGTGGAGGTGCCAGGTAGAGAAGGGAAGGGAATGGGATCGAGAGAGTAGAGTCGAGCGCTAAGATCCTTGGAAGTGGTGAGGAAGAACCTGCAGCAGGAAGCAGCACAACACTGTGTCATCAGCGGGCCCTCTTCGCAAGCAGGAGATGCGGGAACGTATTTCGCCGCTTCGGGGCATCGCCTCGGGAGCGCACAATGACCAGGCATTGGTGACTCAGAGCATTGAGCGGGTATGCTCTCTGCCAATCGGCAGACTCATTAAATCAGTTTTTGGAAGCATCATCGCCCCAATACCTTGGACCATGGTGCGCGTCCCTCTGCGTAGTCGAGCAGAGCATGCATTTCCGAAGCTCTACTCACTGGCCTGACGGACTCCACTGTATGCTAAGCACGTCGTTATCGTGCCCGGTGTAGGTGCGGTGCAGCACGAAGGGGCTGAACTCGCGAGTCAGCGTGCTTGGAGTCTGCCACACCTTGATCTGACTTCCATGCGCCACGGCCAGATGTTTGCCATCGGGAGTGAATCTGACTGCCCTGACCGGCGCGCCAAAGTTGATGTGGGCTAAGGCCACGCCGCCTCCTCCCGCTCCTGCGTACAAGTTGACCAGGACGGCGCGACCATCAACGTCGATCAGGATGGCAATGTAAGGCCTGGCAGGATTGAGAGCGACGTTGGCAATGGTGCGACGCAGCTCGACGGGCAAAGTGCGCGAAGCTTGCGTTTGCAGGTTCACCAGGGTAAGACGATTGCCTGTTGGGCTTAGCAAGGTGCTGCCATCAGGAGTGAAGCAGATGGGTCCCCGCTCGTAGACGCTGCCCAGCACATTGGTCAGTGCAAACGAAGTCGCACGCATCCTGAGCAGAAATGGCGCAGCGCTTTGAGGTAGGGTCAGCGCGTGGGGTCCAGTGTCGTCTCCATGAGGAGAGGGATGAAGGAGGTGCTGATGAGCTTAGCGTGATGGCTGGCGTCTTTACACTTTTGTGTCCTCGACTCTCTGATTTTCTTCTCGTACCGGTACCCTGCGGTTGGGCATGCATTGGGCGCACGGCGGACACGCCCCTCGCGCAACTTTTTTCAGGGATCATCATGCACAGAGGATCTGGCGATCACGTGCCAGCGGGCGGCGTCGTGTCACGCGCTCGCGCGGGTCGAACGCGCGCAGCAAGAAGGATTGATCGCCATATGCTGCCGCCAAAAGACTCACGACTCGCGCTGCCCTGTATGCGACTCGCTCGATCGCTCCATCTCTCGCCCTTCACCCTCACCATCTGCTCCACACAACAATCGCTTGCCCGACTCCCAATCCACGCGCAAGAGTTCTCATCCTGGCTTAGCAAGCGAAGTCCTCGCAGCTCAGCTGGCTTGACGATTCCAAGCAGACTGGGTCACGGCTTGCCTTCTTCTCGTCTGGGTCAGCATACCTTCGCTCGGCCAGGCAACCACGTTCCTCGAACGCGACATCCCTAGACCGTGCCAATCCAGCGCAGCCTGAAATACAAGATGCATCTCGTTCGGTGAGTATTCAGCCCGGATGAACCGAATGGACAGTAGACTCAGCAATGGCGAAGAAATCGCTTCACGCACGGTTTCCCTGGCAGAGCGTACTGAGCGGGCTTGCCATTCGGTTAGACGCAAAGTTGCGATAAATTTGGGACGCTTCGTGATGTTGGCGTCGGAGCAGCTCGAAATCTTCCAGCTGACAAACTCGCCGTCTGTCACTCTGACATCTTCACAGCTTCTTGATGAAGCTCAACAATGAGAGTGTCACAATTGAGCTCAAGAACGGCACGGTAGTTCACGGCACAGTCACAGGTTAGTGTGTCGGCCTCGCCGCGATGCCATTCGCAAGTCTCACAAGCTCACTGGGCCTATTGCTGCACCCTTATCAGGTGTCGATCCCCAGATGAACACGCACCTCAAGACGGTCAAGATGACAGTCAAAGGTCGCGATGCCATCTCTCTCGACACGCTTTCTATCCGCGGCAACAACACCCGCTACTGGATCTTGCCCGACTCTCTTCCCTTGGATGTGCTCTTGGTGGACGATGCCCCCAAGCCTAAGGGTGGCAGAAAGCCCGGCGCTGGACGAGGGGCTGCCGATAGGGGTAGAGGTAGAGGAGGACCTCGCGGGAGAGGAAGAGGGCGCGGAAGAGGCTTCTAGAGTGCCAAGACGTCGGACACACCATGACCGATGTCGAGCCCGCGTGCTCGTACACCCGCCCATCCGCTTTCTTCCGTGACTGTTGTCAAGTCATTGTACTCTACACCAAAATCAAATCTCCAGAAAGAATCTGAGGGCGGTAAGCGCTCGTGCTGCAACTTTGGGAGCTTGACGCGGGCGCGCCTGACCATCAGGTGCTGAGGAATCCCTAGCAATGCTCAAACGGAGGGCAAGCAAATTTCAAAGCCTTGTGGCATTTAACGCGATTCAACCTTTGACAGAAGGCACTATAGGCACGTGCATCAGGCGAATGATGTAGCATTTCAAAGCGGGCGGAATGACAGTGAAGAGACCCCGGCTTAGTTGATGGATGTGAGACCGATCGAGTTGGTCAAGCTTGCAATGCCACCAGGACCCTGGTGAGGGTGTTCAGGGTGACCGCAGCATCAGCTCAGAAGCAGCAGGAAAGACTTGCGTCGAATCCCGGAGGCAAGCTTTTGCCCTACCCAGCCCAACTCACCGTGATGCCTCGCTGCATGGGCGGCAATTTCCCGCTGGATCTTCTAGCGACCAGATGCCGCAAGTATGTCCTGGGTTGTGAGAGGGGCGTATTACGCCTGGAAGAAGGTCTGCTTGCTGTCCCGCGGTCGTCGTCACCATCAGACAAGGCGCTCTCGTCATTAGGATCGAACAAGATCTGTTCGCGCTCCCTCGCAATCTTCTCCTGCGCTGCTTCACATCGCGTGCGCAAATAGTTGACCACATCCTTTGGCGATTCCGCGTTGAAGATTGCGGTGCCCGCCACGATGATGTTTGCACCTGTTCCGCAGCACAGAGAACACGTATGAGTGAGCAAGGAAGCGGCG